GAGGGGCGACGTAGCGATGTGGTATCCTGAACAATTTTAATATTTTTAACGTTTGACAATGTATATGATAGATACATATTTTAGTTATTTTAATGTGTGAACATGGCATGCAATGAACTGGTTTGACGTGGATAAGTAAGCACCTGAAGATGGCATTATTATGCCGAAACATGTAGTGCGAGGGAGAGAAGGAAATAAATGAGTGTATGCACTGCAAGACGGATTAAATAAATCATGGACTGAAGGAAGTTATTTGTGAAATTGTTAAAATAGGTGCTCAAATAGATGACATTGACTTAAATAATGAATACCCCCCCCCCCAAAAAAAAAAAAAGAGTGTTAGATTAATACTGGTATATGTCATTTTTTGGGGTTAGTACCACTGCAGTGAGATCAGTGGATAATATTAAGAGTGCTGTCCTCTGGGATGTGGCGCCATGTAGATCTTGTGTGAATTGACATTTCGCAGGAACGTATCGCCTCCATCATCATGATAGAAATCTGTGAGCGTGGAACCAGTGTGAGCTGGTGGCTGCAGACCGAGACACCATTCAAAAACGCCCAGCTCTATAAGAACACGAAGGGAGGGAGAGTGGACCATGTGGGAAATCAGTAGAGAGGAGAGGGGAAAGGTCTATAGAGATGGGCGAGCGGGTGGCTGGTATAGAGCTGGTATAGGATTGTGTTGGGGGCAGAAGGGGCAAAAATGCAGGGCTACCAAGTGAGCATTGACCCAATAGCCTCGGGGCTAAGCTGCCAAGCATACATTGGCCTACGTAGCCATGTAGATCTGGCATCATGTTCCGGAGGTTTCTTGAGGCAGCAGATGAGAGGCTTCCATGACTTGCTGAGACGAAACCCCACCTCTCTCTTCTTATTGGTGGGATGAAGCTCAATCTCAATGGCCTCCCTAATGATGCTATCCATGTATTTGGTCTTAGTGGCAAGGATGGAGGTGTTGTGAAATTGAATATGGTGTCACAAGTCGATGCTGTGTTCAACCACGGCTGAAGGGCTGAGCTCCAAGAGTGAACACAAAATTTTGATTTTTTAAAACAGTTGTAATTAATTTGATGAATTTTCAAAAAAATATGGATGCCATATTCCTAAATAAAACTGCATAGGTTATATGTTCAGAAAAATAATGTGTCAGTTATAATGACCCAAAAGCAAGATGTCAGCTTCTTAAAAAATGGCATAACTGGTTATGATTAAATTTTAATCATCTGTAGAGGTCCTCAAGTCACATATTTAATAGGCCAGAACATCCTAAATGTGATGGGATGCTACCATTTATTTTTCTTAGAAATTCCTGTAATGATTTTGATTTAAATTTCACCAGTGTTTAATATTTTTGTTCAAAATAAAATTTCTAATATCAGATCCAAATATCTGTTTTAGAATGGCAGAAGGTTCTGATCTATCAAGTGTATGTAAGAAAATTTTAGTAGTATCCTTGCACCAACTTTTTGTTTTTGTTTAAAGAAATTCTGAAACAAATAAGAAAATGTAATAGACGCTTGAGACATAGATCGATTACTTAAAGTTAATTGTTCCTGCCTTCCTGAGAAATATAATGTTGAATGGAAAAATGATTATGGGCAGTGAAGGGAGAAGATTGTGGAAGGAGGTGGCCATGGTCTCTTTTAGGATGCTATCACATTACTCATGTGGATTGACAGGAAGACCATGAAAAGCCTCACTCAGAATAGCTGACTTCTATGCCAAAAATCAAACCTGGAAAGAATCTCATGTATGCAGAGCAAGAGTTTTACCCATTGAACTGCATTGCTTGGTTCTAAAGTGCGTATTTGTCTATATTGATGAATTATTGCATGGATATGTAAATTCTGCTGGTTGATAGTAATGGTTAATGTACTACCAACTGACTTGGTTGGTTATTAACAGATATATATATAGTACATAATGGATCCTGAATTTGCATGATATGTCCAATGCCAGATGCACACTGACCTAAGAACTGAAATGTGTGGTGTAAAATGTATGTTTTTTGCAATATTAAGGGACAGAAGTTGTGAAGAAAGCGATGAAAATTGTCGTGTCACTACATTCACAGAGGTATCATCATTATGGGAAAAGCCCAGGAGGATTTCAGCCATCATTGTTCATGGTGTCTCTCCGTGTGGGAACTCGCGATTTCCTTGGTGAAGGTCCAACTGCTCAGGCAGCTCGCCATGATGCTGCCTCTAAGGCTCTTCACCAGTTAAAATCTTTGCCATTGCCCGAAGACAGTCTGCAACATTGTGATGCTGGTATACAAGAAAATGGTAAGAACAGTTTGGAAACCACTTCACTTCTTAACTGAGGTCTGTGCTGTATATTCCATTCACAAGGTCTTCACCATTATTGTGTTCATTAGCTGTTGTCATCATGGTTTGTATATTGAGCAATATGGCACTATTATTGATTTAAACAGTCGGTATCACGACTGGCTATGAACTGGACAACAGAGGGGTCAGTTTGAGTCCCAGAAGGGTCAAGAATTTTCTCTTCCTGTTGTCCAGACCAGGTCTGGGCTCACCCAGCCTCCTATTCAGTGGGTACCTGGGGATCTTTCCATTGGGGTAAAGTGGCTGGGGCATGAAGCTGACCACTCACCACCAGCCAGTGCCGAGGTCAAGAAACTACGGGTCTATACAGGGTGTCCCAGGAGGAATGGACCAAACTTCGGGAGGGTGTTCCTTATGTTAAAGTATGCCGATATAACCCAAAACACCTATGTCCAAAGTTTAATGGTTACGGAGATAATGGCCAGAGAAGTGTGAAACTTTGACCGCTGTTACACACTTGTTGATTACAAAATACATATTAAAACTGGCAGGAATATGTGGATTCTGTAATGTTAATAATGTGTGTAACATCAAACTAACTTGTGAGTGACGTGAAGCCATAAAATTGAAGTACAGAATACTCGCTTGCCATGTCATAATTGTCCTTAGTGTTTCCAAGCAGTATACATGACACATGACTGGCAAGCGCTGACGTAATATGGCTGGCTGTGCATACTGGTATAAACAGATTACATAACCGTACTAAACAAACATTCATGGAAAATCTCTTGGAATTTCGTTTCCATTATCTCATGTGGAATATTGTGGGACCACGTATGCACATTTTGTAAATTATTTACACCGTCCAGGGTAAAAGACGCCTGATCACTGAATAAAATGACGCTTAACAGTTTGGGATGAGCTTTTTATCCAGTGGCACAAATCCATACGCTGTGCATGGTCGCCTGGTTCCAGATGTTGTACCCTTTGATCATGGTAAGGATAACTCTTCATCATGTAAAGTTCGCCACACCTGCATACGTGATATGCCAATGCGAGAGGCCATTCTACGAGTGGACACACAGACTTCTCTGAACCATTTCAAGAATGTTCTCTCGTGTGTCTATCATCCGTACATCCTCCCTTTCAGAGTGCATAGAAACACTCGGAAGAGAACGAGTATCACGCAATATCTGGTGAATTCGCATAAATACACTTCGAGATGGAATCCTTTGATCGGGAAAACACCTTTGGTATTCTTCAACAGCAGCATGTGCATTGCCACCGCAAAATCCACACACAAACTGCATATCACAATATTCCACGTGTGAAAACACGAGGCATTTCAGCAACTCATCACACAACTAATCACGCCCCCGCCGCAACGTACTCTGTAGGTAGCGCATGAGCTTACGGCTAGTGTGAATCACGACACTCAAGGACAAACAGATAANTATTTTGTAATCAACAAGTGTGTAACCCCGGTCAAAGTTTGACTCTTCTCTGGCCATTATCTCCGTAACCGTTCAACTTTGGACATAGGTGTTTTGGGTTATATTGGCATACTTTAACATAAGGAACACCCTCCCGAAGTTTGGTCCATTCCTCCTGGGACACCCTGTATATCCCTTTCCACATATGCCTTCATGGCGTATTGCTCAAATAGTTAAGCACAGGGACAACTTTACACACACACACGGACACCGACACAGACACAGACACAAGAGGAACTGTAACATAGCTGTGCTGTCTTAATTGGGATCTGGGCATGATAATGTGCTGTTCTGACATGTACTCTCTTTCTGTAATCTCTTGTTTCCATACAGGTATGATTTGACTGCGAGTCATTAGTGAATTCTAGAGGTTACGAGCTTCATTCTTTGAGCTTTTAGTGAAGACCATAGGTCTTATGCCAGGCCTATTGCCACACACTTGTGCCAGTGCTCAGTGGACGTGGTTCGAATGAAGTATAGCACAGGCCATAATTACTTAAGCCATCAGTGCTGGTAGTGAATTGGTTGATGAAACAACTTCATAGACACTGCTGTGAAAACCTCATATCATACAAATATGCTAATGATGGCAGGCAAGAAGGACTCTGGATGATAAAGAGACATTACTAAAATGCCTTCATCAAAATTGTCTGAGAGCCGTCAACATTCTTTGAATGTAAGGTGTTTCTTGAATTCCACAGGAAATTGTGAAGGGATACATTTTCTACTTGATGCTTCTTTATCTTCCAGGGACTACCTGTGGTTTGGAAAATGATCCTAATGCAGATCTGAAGTCTCCTATCTCGCTTGTCCATGAGATTGCTTTGAAGCGGAATCTCCCAGTGAATTTTGAAGTCGTTAGTGAGAAAGGCCCACCACATATGAGAACTTTTGTGACAAAATGTGCAGTTGGGGACAAAGTGACAAGTGGTGAAGGCAACGGGAAGAAGGTATGGTGATAAATAATAAGTAATGTCCTACAGTCATCATTGAGTTCATAGGAAATACGTTTGAAAGTTTTTCATGTTCAGTTCGTTAGTGAAGATAAAAAAGTGTGAGCTGTTGGTTTACTTAGTTGTGAAAACTAATTTTGAATACTTTTAGAGAAATGAAACGATGTGTTCTAAAAGTCTGGACTTATTCATTGCATTAACATTGTCTGCAGCTAGTTCTGACTCATTCAGTCCATAGTGCAGCATCTGTCGTGGGAAGCTGATAATTGCTTAGCTGGTTAATATAGTTCCAATATTTCCTGGGCCCTGAAGATTCATTACCATGTTCACTGAAGTCCTGTTGTGAGCCAGTTAAATCCAGTCAGTACCTTCGCATTCAGTTTATCTAAGATTGGTATAATGTTATCCTGTCACATTGACGTTTCCCAAGTGGTCTTTACAGGGTGTCCCAGGAGGAATGTGCCAAACTTCGGGAGGGTGTTCCTTATGTTAAAGTATGCCGATATAACCCAAAACACCTATGTCCAAAGTTGAACGGTTACGGAGATAATGGCCAGAGAAGTGTCAAACTTTGACCGGGGTTACACACTTGTTGATTACAAAATAGATATTAAAACTGGCAGGAATATGTGGATTCTGTAATGTTAATAATGTACGTAACATCAAACCAACTTGTGAGTGACGGAAAGCCATAAAATTGAAGTACAAAATACTCGCTCGCCATGTCATAATTGTCCTTAGGTTTCCAAGCAGTATACATAACACATGACTGGCGTGCGATGACGTAATATGGCTGCGCTATGAGCCGACCACATAACTCTTATTATACCTACATTCACGGATAATCTCTTTTGGAATTTCGTTTCCATTATCTCATGTGGATTATTATGGGACCACGTATGCACATTTCGTAAATTATTTACACCGTCCAGGGTAAAAGACGCCTCATCACTACACATGACACATGAATGGCAAGCGCTGGTGTAACATGACTGACTGCATATTCTGCTATAAGCCAACTACATAAGTATTAAAATACAGTACCTGCTTTATAGTAATTGTTCAAAGTGTCCTCCGCCAGCTGCAATGCAGTTTTCGGCACGCATCATGAGGGATTGGGTAGCAGAAGCAATGTTGCCTGAATGGTGACGTATGTGCTCTGCCGCTGCAAAAATACGATTCCGCAGTGCTTCTCGGGAATCGACCTTAGTTTCGTAGACTAAGGTCTTCATGTGGCCCCAGAGGTAATAATCTAGAGGCGTAAGATCTGGCGACCTCGGTGGCCATGCAATGGGACCACCACGACCTATCCAGCGGTTAGGGAAGGATTCATCTAAGTAGTGTCTCACGTGCTGAGTATAATGTGGAGGAGCCCCATCATGTTGGAAGTACATTTTCCTCCTTATCGTTAACGGGATGTCTTCCAACAAACATGGTAACTCATTCCTTAGGAAGGCTCCATACGTGTTTCCAGTTAAATTGTTGTGAAACACAAAAGGTCCGATCAACCTGTTCCCAAGCACACCACACCATACATTCACAGAAAATCTCTTTTGGAATTTCGTTTCCATTATCTCATGTGGATTATTATGGGACCACGTATGAATATTTCGTAAATTATTTACACCGTCCCGGGTAAACGACGCCTCATCACTGAATAAAATGACGCTTAACAGTTCGGGATGAGCTTTTATCCAGTGGCACAAATCCATACGCTGTGCATGGTCGCCTGGTTCCAGATGTTGTACCATTTGATCATGGTAAGAATAACTCTTCATGATGTAAAGTTTGCCACACCTGAATACGTGATACGCCGATGCGAGAGGCGATTCTACGAGTGACAGACGCGGACTTCACTGAACAATATCAAGAATGTGCTCTCGTGTGTCTATCATTCGTACATCCTGCCTTTCAGAGTGCACAGAAACACTTGCAAGAGAACCAGTATCACGCAATGTCTGGTGAATTCGCGTAAATACACTTCGAGATGGAATCCTTCGATCGGGAAAACGCCTTTGGTACTCTTCAACAGCAGCACGTGCATTGCCACCGCAAAATCCATACACAAAATGCATATCACAATACTCGACGTGTGAAAACACAAAAGGCATTTCAGCAACTCATCACACAACTAATTTACCACCCATTCACGACCCCACCGCAACGTAATCTGTAGGCAGCGCATGAGCTTACGCTAGTGTGACTCGCGGCACTCAAGGACAAACAGATAAGGGTCTCAGCTGACAGGTACCCATAGTGCGTGGACCTGCAAGAAGACCACACTTTTCTCGGGCCATTATCTCCGTAACCGTTCAACTTTGGACATAGGTGTTTTGGGTTATATCGGCATACTTTAACATAAGGAACACCCTCCCGAAGTTTGGCACATTCCTCCTGGGACACCCTGTATAGATTTTCTGACTGAAATTATGTATATGCTTCCCATGCCCCCATTTCATACTGTGTGCCATGGCCATGACATCCCTCTCAATTTAATAATTTTGATAATGTTTAATGAAGTGTATGAGTTATTTCAGGCTTGTCAGTATGTCATTTGTTCGTTTTCTCTTCCTGTTATTTTGTCTATCTTAGGTCCAAACACACTCCTCAACACTTTGTTTTCAAACACCCTTCAGGTGAGATACCAAGTTTCACATGCATGCAGAACTACAGGTAAAATTATATAAACTTTAATCTTGAAGTTTTGAAGCAGGAAATGGGAAAATAAAAGGTTCTGAATTGAGTTAAGACAAGCATTCCCTGAATTAATCTGATTCTAATTTTGTCATGTAATTTTGAACCTGAGTATTAGTTCTGTGTACAGAATTTTCTTTGCATGGATTGTACTTCTTGCTGCTACTTCAGTAGGTATGAGTATTTTGGTAGTTTCCCTAGTTCTCACTTATTTTCAATGATTTTTTCATGTTTGTTATTGCTGGAATCACTTCTATGTATGTAGGTTCATTGCTAAAACTGATATCCAAATGTCTTTCCTCTTAGCAGAAGTTGCTATGTTGGATGCTGTGATGCAAACAGAAGGTGGTAGATACAGATGTCTATTTTTATTACACTGTGGCTGAAGTATGAACTAACATAGATTTGTACAAATTTTATATGCATTATTATTTATAAGTCCAGAATATAAACATGGCACTGGTACAGGATTTTGAGTTTGTAGCTGATGAATTTAACATCGACAGAACTTGCACTTAAATGAGAAGTGTTTCCCGAAAACAAAATACACTCAACTCTCGATTATCCGGGTTAATGTTGGGGATGGAAATCACGATCAATTGAAAACCCGGTTTAGACAAATTTTATTAAAAGTAGTACTGTAATACTGTACCTTCATAATAATATAGGCCTATCTGTATTTAAATTTATTCAACCTCATTTTTATATCGTCACATGGCCTATTTAATACTTTTTTACATTACACTGAAGTATGAATTAGTTATTTCAATCACAGTGTTCAACAGCATCCAACACTTTTTATGAATATTCACACTTAACACTTAAAAGTATTTAATGTTGTCGTTTGCTTTTTCGCGGCACTTTCCTTTTTATGGATATCCATACGAAGCCTAAGTAATATTAGCTCATCACTTAATAAACTGTTCTCTTCACTCTCAAGATAGTCTAGTAAGGATTCCAAATGATTAAGAGCAGCACCATGTGATATTTTCTTGCTAGCAGCACTGTACACCTCTTCCTCATTCTCACTTTCTTCCCGCTCTTCTGGCTGCACCCCTACTGAACTTACGATTTCGTCACTGCTTAACATTTCGAAGCCCGGCTCACACAAGTCACAGTCAAACCACTCTCTTAAATTTTCCTCGTTGACTTCTTCACCACCATGAACTTGGTTAGCAAGTTTTGTCAATTCTATGGCTATCTCATTTTCACTGAATCCAGTGAATCCATGGATTTCATCATCTTCATTAGTGATGAACGGCATCAGTTTCTTCGATGAATTTTTCAATACTGATGGCTTTACTGTATCCCATGCTGTTGAAATCAAATATATGGCATCTAACATTGAAAAAGACTTCCAGAAACACTGTTATATTTTAGCGTCCTGTTGCACTGACTCGTGTCCATGTTTTATGCTGTCTTACAGAGCGCACACTTTTTCACCTTACTCTTCTCTTTTGCACTACATGTTGCAGCACTACAATACGACGTAAGGATGACAAATCCTGAAAAGTTTTAATATTTAAAATCTATTATAATACATGATGAATATATATTTTAGTAATTTTAGTATGAAGACATAAGGGCATGCAATGCAGTAGTTAGACATGCATAGAGAAAATGCACCTGAAGATGGCACATTAGTGCTGATACATGTAGTGCAAAAGAGAAGAGTAAGGTGAAAAAGTGTGTGCACTGTAAGACGGTTAGCATAAATCATGTTCCAGAAACATGTCAGATCATTGCCTTCATCAGTGTACTTTTATAACATTTGTACTATTCTTTAAATATTGCTCTGTTCATCCAAGCTCCTTTCTGATTAAAATAATGGATAGGCAGACTTGAAGCTACTGTTCCTTTAAAAGAGCATTGTCTTTCACTTTGCTGGTAACTACTGGTGTTAGTTTGTGTGTTCCTGATGCATTAGAACAGCACAAGGCTGTCAATCTCTCCTTACTGGATTTGTGACCTGGAGCCTGTCTTTCATTTTGAAATGCCAAAGTTCTGGTTGGCAAGCATTTCCAATAAAGACCCATTTCATCGGCATTATAGATTTGTTCTGGCAGCAGATTTTCATGAAACTATCAAATTTGGTGCAAAATTGAACTGATGATGGCAAGTCCTCTGACAGTTTCTCACCTTGAATACTAATTTCTCATATTCTGTGACACTGCTTGAAACTTGTTAGCCAATTGGAAGAAGTGTCAAAACTTCCTTGTAGTTCAAGTGCTTCGGAAAAAAAAATTCGCTTGTTTAGCACAAACTGCTCCTGTTATTGTTGTTCCCTGTGCCCTTAGTTGATTAAACCAGATCAGCATTGCTTTGTCGAGATCATGTTGATTTTTTCATTGTTTTTCTCTTCTTCATTCTGCTTGAATTAGAAGACGCAGCAAAGGAAATTAATTGATTCTTTCATTTTTTCAAATCACAAACAGTTTGTTCTCCAATACCATATTACATTGCTAATTGTTTAACTACACATCTTTTTCCCAACTGATTGATAATTTCAAGCTTCTGTTGAATACTTAACACAACACGCTTCCTTTTACACCCTGACATTTTGCTAACGTACTTGAAGATCGATACAAAGAGTCTAAATGGGGCGGTGTATCTGTCCTTGAAACTTTTCACGAATCCTTGCATTCTTTCACCCCTACCCTAGAACTTTGTGTTAGCATAATGGGACCAAAAAATGCAGAGCTCGGTTCACACTAGTGCGAAAATAGTGTTACAACTCACCACGTGAAGCAAAAGTGAATGAATATGAAACAACATATATGCCTCAAAAATGCCCCAGTTTATCCACCCCTGGATAATTGAGAGTTGAGTGTACTTCATCTAACAAGAAGTTCTGGGAAGGACTGCTCGTCTACTTTCCTTTGATACAACACAAGACTCCACAGAAAGTGACACCTCTAACAATTCTTTGCTGCTAGGTCCTTATTATATAGCCTTGGCACAGACTAAATAGAAAATACAGCTTCCAGCATTTTCTCTGTTGTGTGTTTATTCATGGCTGTGAAAATGCGTTTACTATGTCATTGCCTAGCCATGGCTCTCTCTCCTTGTTTCACTCTTCTGGCTTTCAGCCATTATGTCACAGTATTTATAATTGCAGCCAGTAGGATTATTCTTACTGAGCCGCCTTGCATGCTAACTCATGAGCTACTTTGCTTTTTATTGTTGGATTACAAACTCACATTACCTAAATAAAGATTAATAACACCATATGTATAGGACTGGAAGTCTGCAGTAAGTACATAGGGTTTGTGAGTTCTATATCCAAGATATGTATATAATCATCAAACTTCTCACAGTCTTTATGGAGTTTAATATATTTAGTCATTTTCAGTAATGTAACTTTTGTGTCTCTCATACCTAATGTTACACTGAGCAGTTAGCACTGCTGCTTTGTATTTGGGAGATTCTGGTTTGAGGCTGTCTCTCCTGATAACTCTTCTTATTTTTCTCATTCTCTTCAGGCAGATACTGGGATGCTGCCTTAAATAGGAGCCACAACCACTGGCTTCCATGGTTCTTCCCTTTCTTCATCCCATTCAGTGCTGTGGAACTTATGCAGTAAAGAATATGTCATTAATTGAACTAAGAAGCTGATTTGTCATCAGCAAAACATCACTTTATTTGCTCTACTTTTAAGGAAGTGAGGTTATATGTGATGAAATCAGTTCATAGACACCTATTTGTGCTTCTGTGTGAATTTTTTTAAAATTACACAGTGACATTCACCAAATACATCGGAATAAATACGTTTTCACTAACCTTAGGTCATGTCTTGAAAGTACTGGCCATTTTTCTGACACTGAAGGTTTTGTTGGCTTAGTAATCACTTAACTGCATATGTAATTTTTCAGGTATCAAAGAAACGAGCAGCAGAAAAAATGCTGGAAGAGCTTAAGAAGCTACCACCCCAGTCACCCACTAACATGGCTGCCAGCATGGCTCGTCTGAAACGCAAGGCCAATCCAGGAAAGAAAAAGACACGCAATCTCATCAAGGTATATCAGCAGGTTAGCCATGACAGAACTTTTTGCAAACTTATAGGTCATCTATAGCTGAACATAGAAATTTGTCTTATGATGTCTTGAGCAGAAAAATGTATTCATATTCAGAGTGTCAGTCAAAAGGAATGAAACAGAATGAACGTTCTGTCAGTTTATAATGTTTATAGACTATTCCAGTTGTCCAAGCGTTCATTTACCATGGAGTTTTCTATCCATTGTTGTAGTTAGACACATTTAATACTCAAAAAGTATGTGTCTGGTAAAAGTTCACTAATATTTCAGAGAAATGTACTGCATCCATCTTCAGGATTGATGAGTAAGCCAGGCAAGCAATGAGCAAGCAGCAAACTGAATGAGGAAGGACAGAGAACAAAGTGGCTTAGCTTTCTTCATTTATAGCTCCTTAAATCATCGGACACTCTTTAGAGTAGCCTTCCCACAGAGGATAATTATCATGTGTCTGAAGTTTTCACTGTAATGGCTATGAAAGCTACCATATTCTGTAATGTGACACCACGTAATCTAATAGAGTTGCACAAACAACTTATATGTGAGACAAATACGACATTCTCTTGTAAAACGCAGAAGATAATAAGCAGCTGTAACGTGTTTGAACAGAGAGATGGAAGCAACACGCACAACAAGACATATAACAGTGAAAGAGAAATTTTCCCTGCATGCTTTGTGGTGCAGTTGCATCATTGTTACCAACTAAATGTTGGTTTTCACATATTTGTGCAGTTCTGGATATAAAAACATCGATATCTTTCTCAGTAACACACGTCCACATGTGAATTAACATTTTGTTAGTAATTTGGTTATTGTCTTTTTCACTGAAACAGAATTATGCAAACTCCTTCCTGCCCCATATCCACATTTGTAATTTGCCATTGCTAGCCTAAACCATGACATCAGACAGACAATTTTGTGGTATAATTTCTGAATATCAGAATTCCATGGTCACCAGATAATGAGCGTATAATGCTGTACACCATCACTGAGAAATACATTGGCTATAGAAGATGTACGAACATTGAGTTATGAATTTAATATGACCCTTATGACCCTTAGGGATAGCTGAATCATGAAGCCAGTGCCTGGGGTGTCTGCTGGGGTTCAGTTTGTAACTTGGGCAGGTACTTTTATTTTGCAACTGACCCAGACCATATGTGGGGCCCACCCAGCTTCCTGTTCGGTGGGTACCAAGGTTAAGATGACCAAACATGAACCTGACCTCCATAGTGCCTTTAAGTATACATGGAGCCATGTCTTCATAACTTGGTAAGTAAGTAAAGCTGTCCCTATAACAGGCCGTGAAGGCTCATGGGGTTGTGAGATGTTGAGGGTCCCACATTATCTAGTCAGTCGGCTCAAAGATGGTCGTAAGGTTGTCAGCCTTACGCGCCGGCCGCACTTTACTCCCCAGGAAAATTATTTAATTAATTCCTGGTACTCATTTCTGTTAGAGGCTGAGTCGACCCCACGGCCATAGTGCGGCTCAAAGGATTAGGTCAATTGAAAAAAATCCAGTGACCTCATTGGGACTTCAACCCGTGACCTTCAGGCTTGTAGCGTAGTGACTCAACCACTATGCTACTGCGTGCTTAAAAAAGCATGGACATTCTGCTTTAATTAGACATTCACATGGTATTATGAAAAAAACTGCCTTAGGCAGCAGTGAATGTGATATCATTGTTATATTGTACACTCAGCTTATTGTGATTGTACCTCAGGATCAAAAGGCAGAGCCAGAGTATGGTGAAGATATCAACCCTATCTCTCGGCTGATCCAGATCCAGCAGGCTAAGAAAGAGCGTGAGCCTGTTTACTCACTACTCGAAGAGAGGGGAATGCCTCGACGTAGGGAATTTGTAATGGAGGTGAGAATGAGGAACAGGGGTACTGTCAGCCTTTATTGGCCTTGCATTTGTTCAATACTAACACTTTTACCTTCAAGTTTAAGATTTTTGTGCCCAGCTCTGTAGAACTGGGAGATCTAGCTTTTTCATATGAATGTAGTGGATTTAAATCTCTCTTAAAACAGGGCTGGCAGCTGGATTTTGGCTCGGAATGGCATTAGTACTGAAACATTTTTATTTTTGGAATTCTGTCAGCTGAAGTGTTCTGGTAAAACAGATTTCAAACAAAAATACATTGCTGAAGTCTACAGTGTTGTTATTTGCTGTTATAAAATTATTTTTTCCTGAAAAAGTGTATTGATTTCTGGAATAGAACAAAATATTGAGCATGTAAAGTCAAATATGTAGCGTACACATTTGTGAAATTTTTTTTGTCGCACATTGTGATGGTATTCTGATCTGATAGTTTGCTTTTGTATGGTGAGTACAAAGACAGGAGTCTTACACATAGGATAAATTTGCCTTTTGAGCACGTATATTTGGTAGTTGTTAATTTTTTCTTGGTTGAAACAATCCGAGTGTGATCTTGCAGCTGGCCAATGATTGAACGTTGTTTCACCCTTCAAGGCAGTTCATTTTTAAATGTTTTTTATGAATGACATTCTAATGTGTTAAATGAGGTAGGGAATGTTTGATTTTATTTATTTATTTATATAAATGATTTACCTGAAATAATAAATAAGGATAATAACATGGTTCTATATGCTAATGGCACCGGTATTATAATTACTGATACTAATAATGTAAACTTTGGCATGCGTGACCTGAAAAGGATCTATGGAATTTAAAATAAAATGAAAGTGAAAGTGATGCTCATTTTCTTATCATATGTATGCTTTACCCTTTGTCCATTGTGTTGTGAACAATACTTATTTCTGATATGCTTCATTATGAACTTGACAGCTTTGTGCTTATTCAAGCATCCTGGCTTCCTCAAATTCTTCTCGTGAGTCCATGTCTCACCATTTACACAGTCTTTGTATTGTGTTCACTGTGATTGTTTGGTTGTATGATGTAGGTCTCTATCGGTCAGCATTCATGCACTGGTACAGGGTCCAATAAGAAGCTGGCTAAGAGAGCTGCAGCAGAGGGGTTGCTGCAATTATTAGGTTATTCTCGTCCAGCAGCCCAGCCTGCTAAACCGTCCATCAAGACTGGTGATTCCAACCAGGATTTGGACATTAGTAGGAAGGTATGATTTTTCACTGCAGGAGAATGGAATTTCATTACGGATTTACATGAATGGCACACACCCATGAATAGGACTTAGTAGCCAGCTGACCAACCAACCAACCAACCAACCAACAAGGCTGTTGGATTTTTTCAGCAGAATCCTTGAGAAGCTAATGGTCAATGAGCTGGTGAAGAAATTCCATGCCTTTCATAAACCCTAAGGTTCATTACTGTGTTCACAAGAGCCTGCCATTGGTTCCTGTCCTGGTTTTACCCTCACATCCTGTTTTTCTCGAAGATCCATTGTAATAGCACCACATCTTATGCCTAGGTCTCTCAGGTAGTTTCTTCTCAGGATTTCTTACTAAAATTCTGTATGCATTTCGTATTGCTCCCATGGATGCTGCATGCCAATCTCATCCTTTACTTCAGGGTTTGATCACCATAATATTTGTTGAAGCATTGCTACAAGCCGGAAGGTCACAGGTTCAAGTCCCGATGAGGTCATTGGATTTTTTCAATTGACCTAATCCTTCCAGCTGCACTATGGCCCTGGGGTTGACTCAGCCTCTAACAGAAATGAGTACCAGGAATTAATTAAATAATTTTCCTGGGGAGTAAAGCGCGGCCAGCGCGTAAGGCTGACAACCTTACCGCCATCTTTGAGTCGATTGTCCAGATAATGTGGGACCCTCAACGTCTCACAACCCTATGGGCCTTCACAGCCTGTTACAGGGATAGCTTTGCTTTACTATAGAAATTATATGACATGCACAAATGCATCAACCTCGTATGTAACGTCATTTTCATTCCTGAATTTCTCTGATATCGTGGGAAAGTTCGATGTGTCTGCCCACCCTCACTTTCTCTACTTGCTGACGTGACTGTCCTGGAAGAATACGACCGCGGGCTGCAAGAGGAATGTGGGTTTTATGCGAAAACAAGGGTGTGGGGTGGGACTGCATGAATAGTGCAAGAGGACGTGGCAGGTTGTTAACTGCATTCCTTTCCTAGAATCTCGTCTAACAGGACCTCACATTGTCTACTTACCCTATAGTGTTCCTGCCTAAACCCAGAGAAGTTCAGTAGCGAAACATGGCAATGAAAAGGAAAGTTCTAAGCATTGAAGAGAAAGTTAAAGTGATTCGTGAAATATTGTGTGTATTGTCAGTGAAAAGCGCTGTAATATGCCTTTGATATTACACATTTGGGCAATTCCACATTAATGTTACGTTAGTCTGTACTTAACTACGTATTTCACTAAAAAATGCAACATTTTAACTCGGTTTTTGGTAGATTTTTACGTGACTAACATAAGGCTACTGTGGAAGTGCCCTTTCGGTTACGACATTCATTTATAACGACACTAATTTTAGGTCCCTTTGATGACATTATAACCAAGTTCTACTGTATTTAAACCCAAATATTTATATAAGATCACTAAAATGTTTTTTTAACCAGATGTGATGAAATTTGGTATATGCATGACTAAACAAAAAATGCATACAAAATGTGTTCGTGCCACATTGGCCGAATGGGATTGGCATGCTCCTGGATGGAAGTCTTATATAATGCTTATTTCTAGCTTTTTAATTTTTATGATTTGCATTACAGCCCCAGTTCTCTAATTGTTTTATCTTAGAATGCCTGCTTCCTATTAAAGAGATCTCTTGTTTGATTCTTGGCCTCAAGTCCAGCTATCCTATTTGGTTTTCATGCTTTATCTCAGTACAGCCAGAAAGAATACTGGAAATGTGAGTCATGTTTATTTCTATGTCCTTTCTGGATCATTATTTATATTATATATTTCATCTGTGCAGTAGACTTGGTGTCATTAACCTTTAACATACGGACTTTTAAATTGCCGGCAGCCCTATGTGGCCGGTATTTAAATCGCCCTAATTAATTAACATTGCAAACTTTCACAAAAAAAAAATTCATATTTTCTGTTCTATGCAACAAAGAAATACGAACTAAAAACAACCTGAAAGACAATAAAATTTCCTACATATACACAAAAGAGCAATTTTTACAAACGAAAATTAACTGTGATTATTTTGTCATGAATTGCAAAATATAATCTTTATTATATATGTTATGAAATTCGAAAGGACTTACCCGTTGTTTTTTCTTCCACCTTGAATCATGGTGATATTGTAAATATAATCACACTATATACAATAATATTTTGTTCAGACTGTACACGAATTTGAACTGTGTCACTTCACAGTTTACAATACACTCTGATGCGCAGTCCACCTCACACAAAGCAGCATCACACTTTTTACAATAGAAGAGCGTGCTCCTGCTTTTCTTATTTAGCGAAACACATGACATGTCTTTGTTTCCCTTTGGTTGGCCAGTGTTGTGAATGTTTCACATCCAGTCAACTCAGTTGGGCCCCAGGTAACCTTGGCCTCCCCTGAGAAACGCCACTGACCTTGATATTCAGCCTTGAGACTTGGTGATATTGTAAATATAATCACACTATATACAATAATATTACTGTACACGAGTTTGAACTGTGTCACTTCACAGGTTCAGTTCACAGTCACTTCACTATGATAGTCACCCTGACGTGTGTGGCACTTCTCGAAGCAGTCCACGTCACACAGAGCTAAATCACACTTTTTACAATAGAAGAGCATGCTCCTGCTTTTCTTATTTAGCAAAACACACGATGTCTTTGTTTCTCTTTGGTTGACCAATGTTGTGAATGTTTCACCTCCACTCGACTCAGTTGGGCCCCAGATAACCTTGGCCTCCCCCCCCCCCCGAGAAACGCCACTGACCGTGATATTCGCCTTAAGTGATTGGAGAATTGTCTTGGGGGTTCAAGCAAAATCGAATAAATTATGTTGATTGACAAAGCGATGCTCTCCCCTATTAGTAATACTCACAAAATAGTGATGCAAAGTAATTATAATACTAGTCGAAAAGGGTGCCAGTCTGACACTGATACCGAAAGTCACAGTGGCGAAAATGCCTTTTGGTCACAGAGTAATACTGGCTCAGTGGGTTTATACCTCTTATGAGACACAAAATAAAAATGATATACAAAGAAATATTAGACAATCCGACACTGACTTCCTGACTGATAATTCGTCACTGAAAACCAATCCTTGAATGCGTCACACTTCCTTGAAGGCCCTGGAAGCACTCATCTGCAAGCACCAATAAATATTTCCTCATCAGTTCTCGAAACAGCTAGGCTATATTTGGCTGACCAGGTCATAAACAGTCATATCTAAACTAAATAGTATCGAAACCAGTACCGTGATGAATGATTTCTTTGTTCAGAGCTAAGGAATGAACCATTGACATGACCTTACGATCGTTTGTTTTGGTTTCAAACCCAAGGTCAAACTGTCAGCACTTCCAAAGAGAGCACGTGTCATGCCCATATATATATATATATATATAACATTCAGCCAACTCGGATTGCTGCTTGCTGCATAGATATTGTCGCGTGTTGGGTGTATAATGCGACAAATAACTTCACGCTATATTGAATATAGCGAATTTTATTTCACATTCGCTCTTACAATCACACAATTTCCAGATTCACAATTACTGCCATCGGCAGTATCACAAATGCTGGTAACTCGTAAATGCTGCCTTGAGAACTAACTCGTAGGCTTGCTCGGAACTAACTCAGAACTCATAATTCGAGAACTAACTGTGAATAGACTTCGCTGCTCCTTATGTAGCCTCGTTATGGACAACTCAGAAAACAGCCACGTAATAGGCACCACTGTTGTCTGCCGCAGTCGTGCTAGCAACGTTGTGTACCGGTGTTATTACCGTTGTCTTTCGCAACCACTGTTTACCCACGCTGCCTAGCAACCGTGGTATCCCTTGGTGACGTCACCGCTGTTGACTCGCGTTGCATAGCTACCAGGAGGCTGGGACTCGGCTAACTTCGGCTCCGCTCGGCACGTCAGCTCCGGGGGGGGGGTCCAGCTAGCGTGACACGTCACAATATATATAACATTTGGCTGTTAAAGGTTAAATGAACTTGAAAAAACAGAAGGATCTGTCTTTTTTCCTTAATATTCTGTTTGCTGGTTGCAGTACCTTCTCACATAATTTTATTTTTATATGTATAATGGTTTCAGGTGACATTCCTGGAAGAAGAAAAAGTTGTTGAGTTGCCAGCTGGTGGCAGTAGTGGGCGGCAGTTGGTACCAGGTCTCCTGCTTATGACAGACAATACTGCAGGGAACTACGTACACACACCTACAAAGAATACTGGTAACACATGAGCACATTAGCCTTCTGCATTCAGTTTTTGTAACAAATGCCTCCATTCACAGTATTCTGAGGCCCTCTTGACCTTCTCAATTTTGGATTACCTGTCACAGATACAGAATTTTTCTGATGTGAGTGCATTATAGTACTGTCAGTGACAGTGAAAAGCATTCTGTGTTGTAGCAGTACCACAAACAAAAAGACATCTGTGAACCTTTTGAAGGTAACATGGGCAAAACTTAAGATGAATCAAAGTATGAAATGTTGCTGCAAAGTGTTCCAGAATTTGTTACACAATTTTCAGCTTTAATATATTGTGACATGATAGTTGAAAACTGGAATAGTGGAATGAATGGATGTGGCCATTACTTGGCAGCAGTGAATCAACATGATGGAAGCAGTGTTTTCTATGTGGTCCATGCCATGCTGATTGAAGACCAACAGGAACAGCTTGTCAGTTGGAGGTTTGAGTTGGCGGTTAGCAGTCTTGAGTTGCATTGTTAGCTACCGCTACACAGCAACCAATAGTGAACAAATAGAAGAATTTATGCTTGTTGTAGTTATAGTGATCTGTAGAGTGTGAAAATTAGTGAGACTTATAAGTTACAAGTGTTCAATAAATCCAGTTATGAGCCCAAACCCCATATCTAATCACATGTGGCAACCAATGTGAGAAGTGGGATTGGATTGATTGAATTATAGAACTGAAGACTACATTGCATAATTCTATCATCATACTGCAAAACTGGAGCAAATGATAGAATTCCTGCTGGTCGAAATATGAGGAATGCAAGAGTTGTGGGAATCCAACCATGAGAATATAATTGTCGTTCGAGAAAAGATGGGGGAGAAGCTGCTTTCCCATGTGGGATGTCATATATATGAAGAGACAACCACTTGTTGAACTGTTCCATAACATTTATTATAGTTGCACAGTACACACAGACGAACTTCCGTTTGAAGAATTGAAGAAGTATAGTACCAACAGTACTGCTGCTTGCAACACCCACACCAGAGCTCTTTATAGAGAGAAATATAGTCGCTATATCCTCCTATATAACATTGCATCAGACCACACAGAAAATATCTCTGTATTGTTGTATCCTGTTTACTTGCCATTGCTGAGCAATGATACTTGTGTTGTCACTGCAACATTTGCTTGAATGTGGGGAGTTCCCACATCATCCCCCTGCTGAGATGGTTGCTCAGCTGTTGAAGCGAGCAGTGAAATGTACGTTGTGTCCGGAGTGGGTAGTTGGCGCGACGGGTGGTGCTGCGGCCAGTGCTAAGTTGGCTGCACGATTGAAGGTGGAGATATGTTCCTCTTATATAACATTGCATCAGACAACATAGAAAACATGTCATCTGTATTGTTGTAGGCTGTTTACTCATTTTGGCTAGCAGTGGCTGCTTGCCGTAGCTAAGCAACGATACTTGCATTGTCACTGCAATGTTTGCTTGAATGTGGGCAATTCCCACACCCACATCTACATAGTGGAGCTACTGAAGTGGCATACAACAAGGTTACTGAGGTGCTTGAAAATTGCTGTGGTGACTACCACCTGGAAGCAGCTTTCACTTATGGCTGAGAAGAGGGACCCATCTTTTGGGGAATCCATGAAGGAGTTTGCTGCCACCATCAACCACTTGGCTCACTGCACTCTCATTGGACTACCTGAACACCTAGTAAGTAAAGAAGAAGCCTGAGGCTTTGCTAGAATAAGGGAGGAAGGCATAACATGACAGGTACTCTTCAGAGGCAGGAGGATACTCAGTGAGGTCCTTAATGAGGCCCTAAAGCTGGAGGCAATCGACATAGCAGCTGGAATGCCCTGCATGGTCTGGCAAACAAAGAACCAGTCTCCTCTGCCAGTGGAACAGGATCCCCCAACTTACACAATGGCATTATGTGAGCACTGTCTGCTTGCAAGAGGACTGTCCCCACAAATGGGATGAAGAAGAAGACCGACCCTGGACACGATATACATTCCGAAAATGGGCAGGAGGTGGCGAGAAGCAGCCCTTGTATATACTGTCAGATCACGCAGGAGACCATGTTCACCAAGGACTGAGTGCAGCAGGATGGAACAGCCCGTGTGTTGTTTTGGGGGGGGAGTCATCTTAGGAGGAACTGCCGACAGAGATATCCCCAGAAGAAAATGGACAGAGGCTGGAGAAACAAATAGAAGAATTGGAGGTGACAGCAACGGTTTCACCACTCACACCAAATCCACTTGTATATTATCAGAATACTAGTAAATAAAAATAAAAGAAAAAACCTTAAACAGTTACCTAAGGATGTCAGAAGGGCAAAAATTTTGAGGAAAACCTTTTTCTTTTTTTCAAGTCTTGCATCACTGTGTCCTCAAGAATTTTAAGTTTATTCAGATGCTAGTGCATTTGGGGAAATATTTTAGTGTATGTCTGTTTAAATCACATTTATGCGCATGAACTTCATTTTAAATACTGAATTGATAGCAAAGATGACATTAGTTGGCTTTTGTGAACCTTTCAGTTTCACATTTGAACTTTGGCACAGATGTGTTCTCTTAAAATGAACCTTTTGAGGAATAGACTGTGGTTATGTGAACTGGATTGGGCTGTGTCAGGGTGGTGTCTAATGATGGCCATTCTGTACAGACAGATAATTTCTTAAGCAGGTGAATTTTTCTGCTTAGGGTTGTTCCTGCACCATTCTGTTACTTTTGTAATGTTTCAGGAGTGAATTTGCAAACAACTGCTGCAATAGCAAAGGAATTGCTGAAAGGAGGAAACTCACCAACCGCAGAAGCATTGGCCAAGTCTGCTTCTGCTATTGGGAGTCATAAGAATTCAGTAGTAACACCAAGCATGGCCAAACCCTTACTCCAGCAACAGACCTCACAGACACAAAGCAGTCAGGTGGTGCGACCGAAGGATCAGCTGCTCTACTTGGCCCAGCTGCTTGGCTTCCAAGTTCAGTTCTCAGATTTTCCAAAGGTACAAAACAAGTGTACATAGATTTTTGTGAGTTATGTTGGAGTATGTACTGATGACACATGATAGTTGTTAGTTTCCTTGTTTCTGAAAAATTATTATGAGTCCTTTTGCCTTCAACATATCATAAAATTACTTCCCAATATTAACAGTGACTTTCTGTATGCAGATTCCTATATCTCTTTTCAAATAAAACTAATTTCACAGACTTTGTTTTATCTTCTGGATATCTTATTACATTTGCTTAATTCCAGTCATTGCATATATAATTTATTCTGTCCTTTATGAAAGAGACCACCTCTGTGGTGTAGTGGTCAGAGTTCCTGGCTAGAGACCCAAAGGGTTCAACTCCCAGCACTACCAGATTTTCTGAGTAGTAGTGGGTCTGGAACAGGGTCCACTCAGCCTCGTAAGGATAATTGAGGGGATCTGTTGCGCTGACCACGTGACACCCTCTATCCGCAAAATTTGGCGCTCACTTCGCCGACAAGTGGTGGTCACTTGGTCGGTATAGTTCACTTGTGAACTAAAACCACGTTTTTTTTTTAAAGAAGTTGTCGCTCAGTCGGTATAGTTCACTTGCGGTCTAAAACCACGGAGTTTTTTTTTGGTCATTTATGAAAGAAGTTGTCATTGAAAAACATCTGATACAAAAGGTAGCAGGCATCATTTCTGAGTGTGGGAAGTGAGTTGAAGAAACTGATGTGTTTGTTATTATTTTTTTAATCCTATGGTCCCCTCTATGCGCATGTGTATTCCAAGTGACAGATTGTTCTTCCGGTTGTGTTGTGCTGTGTGTCTTTTTACGAATGTTTTTTTATCACAAAATTTTCCATGGAATAGGTTAAGCATTTAATGTAAAGGACAGATAGTTGCATGTTAAAGGATATGCACATCTGTAAGTAGTTGGGCGGAAGAAGTGAGTAGTGCCAGGATCATCTGGCTTAATAGTTGTTTATGTGTCTCTAATGCCCCCTCTGGTGTTACTGGTGACCCTTTCTTCAGCTGGCCAGGTAAGGTGAAGGACATTTCTATTTAGCATGGAGCTGGGATAGCACAGTCACTGTAGCGACTGGCTATAGTCTGGCCAACAGGGTTGGAGTTCGAGTCCCTGTAGGGTCAAGAATTTTCTCTTCTCCACATTGTCCAGACCAGCCCTGAGGCCCACCCAGCGTCCTATACGTTGGGTTCCGGGAACTCTCCCCAGGGGTAAAGCAGCCAGGGCATGATGTTGCCCAGTCACCTCTAACTAGTGCCGAGGTCAAGAAAACATGGATCTGTACATCACTTCCCCATGTGCCTTTATGGCATAGTGTTTAATTAGTTAAGCACAAGGACCACTTTACCTTTTATGACAGCGTGTATGTGGCTGAGTCTGCTGCCTTCAGTATGAATGATGTCTAGCATGAGACCTAAGCCTAAATTGAACACTGAAGCATGGAAAAACAGTGGCATTCACATTTCTGAAGTAGAGTCCTTGGAACAGTTGCAGGGCCTTAGCTGTGCATAGAGAAACAGAATATTTTCCAACACTTCCTTAGATTTACTGTCATCTGGCATGTGTGGAAAAGTTGTCCATCTGTGGGAGTTTGGAATTCAGTAACGTTTCATCTCTGTCATATGCACTTCTTTGAAACAGGTTCTGTCTGAAACAAATTTAATGTTTTAAATATCCCCAAAATTTATTGGAGGAAGCTTTGCTAACTGTGTAAAACAATTTATTATTTAGTTATTTATTAAAAAGTACAACTTTTCATTATGTGTTGGCTTTAGTTATTGACTCAAGTCATACAGATTTGAATGTGCTTCTTGTTACAGGGAAACCATAGTGAATTCCTGAGTTTGGTGTCGCTCTCAACTGACCCACCTCAGGTCTGTCATGGGGCTGGACAGACAACCGATGCCTCTCATGATCAGGTATCTTACAATTATTTCGTTCTTTTTTCTTTTCTTCCTTCCATCCTTTCCCCATAATTTCTATTTTTCTTTCTCTCTCCCTCCCTTTATCTTTTGTTCTCTCTATTTTAGCAACATTTTCAGTTTCAGTGGCTCATCCATTGATAAGAAAAGGCTATTGCTCATGTGGGAAATGTTCCATTGTAGTGTATAATGAATTAATGTGGTTTACTTGTGTACATTTTGGCCCAAAAGGTAGGTACATAGCTAATATGCAGTAACATTTCTCTGGTCGTATTGTCTACCTGAAATAGTAGATTTGCTCTTACTTGAGGAAATTAAAATATACAGCTGAACTATGCAATTTAGTGCAAGGATATAATTCCTTATATACTAAATGAAGCACTCAAAATGCTTGAAGGTTCAGCAGTTCCACTTGCAATTTTGCTGGTATTTTGTTGGAATTTCTGCTTGTAATATATAGCAGAACCATGATAGAACAAGTGTGGTCTCTAATGAGAACTTCATGGCCAGTACAGGGCACTATGTCAGCATTGGCCTTGAAGGATTGAGGAAAATCAAGACAAACCGCAGACAAGCTAATGTCCTGGCTGAGATTCAATTCCTGTATATGGGTCTAGAGCACAGTCACTGTTCCAGACTTCTCATTTTTCTGGGATCTGCATGTCTGGGTACAGAAGTGCTTAGCATACATTCACAGAGTCAATCTAATCTGCAGACAACAGACACTGGCCAGTGGTTGCAAGTACTGGAGATTATATAAGCATGAGAAGATCTTTAACTCCTCAGTTCAGACAATATAAAAGACATCAGGAATTGTGGATTACTATTCATTACTTTTATGTGTACATCATAGCCACTTCAGACTACATAGGAAATGTTTACATGGCATAACAGTTCTGATGCATTTGCTTAGCTGTGACTTGTAGACAGGATAGAATGTATTTTGTTTATACAGTTATTGACTTTTTTTGACATTATCCATCATCCTTTTTCTTTCATTATATTTATTTAAAAATGTTTCAGAGACTGTACTATGTCGCCATCCTCAGGTAAAAGCCTACTTATTTGGGCAAAATTCATATTGTTAATCCTACCTCCAGACCCCAGAACTGACACAAGACAGGATATACAGGACATTAAAAAGGGTTACAAGCTTTAAGGGGGTATAGTACTCACTTAAATGAGTAGCAAATCTTCCCAGTCAGTGTGTGTTCAGAAACCAGTGCTTGCTGAGATACACATGATATTTGTGTGATGTCTGCAGCAGATGCTCTACATGGTTCCCATGTACTTCAACACAACTTTCAGCTCTGTGTTGCACAGATGTGCTCATTCTGTCAAAACTGTCTGCCAGTTGACTGGGCCTCCGTGTTCTATCCACTGTTCACCGAAAGTCTGGTCCAGGTGCTGCCTGTCAGTGTCAAGAAATTGAGGTGATTCCCCATCATGAATGAACCACATGTCTTGTCACTGATGAACAGACATGTGTTCCAAGGGTACTGGTAAATCATTCACCAAAAAATGATGGTCCACTGCACCTGTTAGTGTGTTAGGTAAGACAACTGGTCCTAAGGTTTGTTCACTCAAGACAACTGGTCCTAAGGTTTGTTCACTCAAGATGCGTACCCAGACATGGATGGGAAATCAATATTGTTGTCTTGATGCCACAACAGTGTGGGGATTGTCATCCAGCCAGGCTTGGGCATTATGAAAGTTCCCAATGCCATCCCTTGTGAATCCTGCCTCATCATTAACAGGATGTTAACTACAAACTGTGTGTTTACAAGACAGTTTTGAGAAGCCATTGGCAAAACACCCCTTTACATGATGGTCAGGAGGAGTGTGATCTTGCACTTGCTTGTTTTGGTATTCATGATCAGTTCTCCAGACAAGCATAACACTGATACCTTCAGCAGTTGGAATTCTTTGCACACTGGAACCAGGATCTTCTTCCACTCATCTTAATGTGTGAACTTCCATGTTGGGAGTTCTCACAGATCAAGGCCCTCCACAATCTAATGCCCATGGAGCAGAGGACTCAGATTTTTCAGTCATTGGTGAATAATTTGTGGGATGGGATTGTGCATTGTGGATAATGTTTTGTGTGGAGGTGATGTGCTTCCTGAGAATTTCCATTGGCACAGCCAAACATGAAATATGAGTGCCATTTCCCAGGTAGAGTAATAAGATTTCATTACAAAACCACTAAACAGACTTCAAATCAAAGGAGTGGTACATAAATAGTGCAGCTGCTGAGCCACAACACATGCAAGGGAAAGGTAAATGTACGTGACACCGACCTCTTATTATGTACTGCAGTGTTGCCCTAGTATGTGGAGTATCCGGTCAAATGCAAAACTCATCCATATTTAAAAGTGTTTGATGATGGTACATCAATACTATTTACTTTTTGGACATTATTCATTGTCCTTTTCTTATTGTTATTATTCAAAAACTTTTCAGATACTGGACTATGTCTGCATCTTCAGGTAAAAGCTTAGTCAGCTGGACCCAATCAGGAAAGCTAGTCCCTATCTTTGAACACTCAGGATATATGAACCAAAGAGAACACAGAACCAGCAGCCTGAGTTGAGACAAACATTACAAAACTTCACCTTCATGAGGCCTTGCACCTATGGCCATTCGTAATGTAACGGCCAGAGTACTATCAAAGTAGAAGCCAACATTAAAGAGCCAGATTATGAAACAGTGCAATACTGCAGGACAAGATATATTAAGGAATGCTGCTTAGATGACCGCCTCTGTGGTCTAGTGGTCAGAGTTCCTGGCTACAGATCCAGAGGTCCCGGGTTCGATTCCCGGTGATACCAGATTTTCTGAGAAGCAGTGGGTCTGGAACAGGGTCCACTCAGCCTCGTGAGGATAACTGAGGAGCTGTTTCAAGGAAATAGTGGCTCCGGTCTAGAAAACCGAAATTAACGGCTGTGGGGATTCGTTGCGCTGACCACGTGTGACACCTTCTATCCACAAAAGTTGGCACTAACTTTGCCGACAAGCAGCAGTCGCTCGGTCGGTACAGTTTGCTTATGGACTATAGGCCACAGAGTTTTTTTTTATGCTGCTTAGATAAAAGAGTAAATTTCTTGTTGTCTTATGCAAGTAATGGGATCAGATAGCTCAAGCATATACAGGACATGGAAATGAATGGCTGCATAATCATTCTGGGAAAATGGAGAGAGTTCTTTTGAAAGACATAAATATAGATGGAAGTAAAAATACTGAAACAGATTTTAATGGAATAAATTGCTAGGGTGTGAAATGGATTGGATTATGTTTAATGATTGCTTTTTGTGGTAACAGTGATTACTGTTTTGGTTCTTTTGAACAGAATTTATTGAATATATGAATGAATATCCAATTCTGAGGAATTTGATATCTATTTCAGGCGGCACTGACAGCTTTGCATGCCTTGTCAGAGATGGGCCTTGACTCAGTGGCTGCTTCAGGGAGTGGCATGAAGAAGGATGGGCAGCAGGGATCCCAGGGAGATGGGTGAGTGACAGGAAACTTTTCAGATTTACTTTTGTATGCAAGGACCTTCTCATGGTGTCATGTCCATACATCCCTGTCCCCTGCAGTAACTAGATGTAATTGACAGATTCTGATGAATTGGGTGGGTAGAGGGAGGGGGAGAGAGAGAGATATTAATGGGAATAAATGGGTGGGTCAGCTTAGCATGTTTGCCCGTTTCATTAATACCTGTACACGGGACTTTGTTCGTTATATCTGTTGAGATTTGAGAGCAAGCATCAATAAATCATTGTGCACCATAGGTAGGCTACTGAATTTTCAGAGTGTAAGTAGTCATTTTTTAATGTCCCTGTGAGTATAGCGTGAGAGTCAACACTCCGAGGACCTTAGGCCACTCATACATACACCACAGCCATTTAAATTTCAAATTACAAGTAAGAGCCATGCACAGATTTTCCCATTAAAGAGCACGTGAAAACAACATGGAATTAATTTCTTTTCAAATGCTATTACAGTGAAATCTCCAGTTAAGGTTTCTCTTAAGATTTTTGCTTAAACAGTTAGACAGTTAAATGAAGTAAAATATGTATTGCTTATATCAAGGGCTTTATTATAGCAACAGAAACCATTGGAAATGTCAGTTTCTGAACATTGTTCATATGGAAAACCACTGCATAAAAACAAGGGCTTTCTTCCAGCATGTTTGTCACAATGAGAGGTGTCTAACTATCACTGTTTTCCTGCAACATTTTGCCCCAGTTACATATGGAGTTTGCTTCCATAGTCAAAGGTTTTGCTCACAGGCTTGCTGCTAGAGATGAAAAGTTGAGTGGCCCAATCCATGAGGTGCCAAGATGAAATATCTTGCCATTGCCTTTTGGTGGTCAGGATCGGTTGAACCCTTGGTATATAAATATATGTGGTTACTTTTTATATGTATTTCACCATGGTATGTGAGCATCTGGTTGTTTCCATGCATGATCATAGTTTGTTACAACTTAATATTAAGGGTCTCAGTTTGCCTAGCTTCAAGCAGAACTTGGTGCATGTGTGCTGTTCTTTGAAATCATCATCTTCTAAGTAAATGCAAATTGCAGAGGGCAAACCACATTTATGTGTGTTGCAAGCTGTACTCAGCAGATTCTGTTCTACGAGGAGGTTTGCTTTAACTGCAGTAGTGCCATATTCTTGCCAGTTTGGAAACTGGTCACACCACAAATATATATGAAGCTCACCTTTCTATTATTCAGTGCTTTGTGAGCCTTATTTTAGTATGTGAGTCCATCTAAGTACACCCCACTGTAACTAATACACAGATTATTAGATTTTCATTCCATTACTAGCATTTCAGCTGTTGTACACGGCTCCAAACTATTTCTGAATGCTTTAGTAATCATTGATTACTTACAAGGAGTTGTGTCTTCTGTGATATAACACCACGTATGCCAGTGAATGTCAGCTGGTGTTTTGGAAGAACATATCACCTCAATCTGCTTGGTGCCTGTTTCATGCTGCTTCCTTTCTTGGCTTACATGTCAGGTCTGAAGAAGGCAGCAATATGTGCCTCTGAAACATTGCTTGCCTTTTACCAGACCATGCAGTGTTATATTGTCCAGAAGACACAGCTGTGAGAACCTCAAATACAACATTGGTTACCTGTATTGATTGTTTTACAGCCTTCATCTCACACAGTCCTCAGTCCAGAAGACTGGAAGCATCTCCCTTGGCAAGTAAAACATGCGGCCATATTGTCTGTCACGAAAAAAAAATTAAGAAAAATGATTGATACAAAATTCCTTCTTCCCAATATTGTAAATATAATTCTTGATGAGAATCCAGGCAGTAAATTGCTGAACTGTTTTTTTATTGAGAAATATTTACTGAAGACAGACTTTGAACAAAATGTTACATTTGGCTATGGAATGTAGGAAGGAATTCTCTGACATATGCTTACATGAACGCATCTACTTCAGAACTCTACTATCTGCAAATCTAATGAGAGTTTATATTCTTTTCTATTGAGACTAAATTGGTTGGTCAGTTTGTAATTACTGGGCAGTAATCTGACACTGTGCATTGATATACCAATACCATAGCTTTCTTCTGTAGGTCAGAAATTGCACCTTATTTACCTGTGAATCAGGATATGACGTGAAATTGATCAGAAGGTACAGATGGTTCTTTGCAAAATCCATATCCATGCACATTAGTTGGGACTGCTATGTAGTATTCAGTTACATTCCTGTAGTAATGCCCATATGAAATTGTGAAGGATATGGAGTCATGTCCTTAACTGTACAGATCATGGGTAATGCATCAATTGTATTGTGGTTCTAAACAGGGGCTTTTTGTAGAACTTTGATGCAAAATAATTAAGCATTATTCAGAATCTTATATGAATATGTTTAATTATTTTATGGTTTATGTGAAAAATAAATGTATCCAACAAATAAAATAAATTGGAGCCTAGTTCTTGATTATTTGCTGTGAATTGAATGTTTCCTTGTCCTTAACCATATTTGGTTATATAAACAGCTGAATTCTGCAGTAACTGTGTTGTATATGCTTTTATAAGTGATGAACGTAATTTCTAGCTCTGAGCTGATAGCCGTTAATTTGGGACTCCATTGCTTTAGGTGGAAAATTGTAAGATTTTTTCTATGCTGATAATTTGATTTCAGGGTTATTTATTACTAAAGAATCATCCTAAGCAAAGGGATTAAACGAAGGAATTTTGTATCGTTGTTAATAAAATACACTTAAAGAGGGAGAGTGAAATTTTCTTCCCTTTTGCTAAGAAGGTCCAGAGCAGAAGGGGAGAAGAATTTGAGTTGTTTGCAGCCGGAATTTAAACCACAAACTTTGGCCGATTGTTAACGCGTGGATTGCTGTTGTATACCATTATGAATTGTATTTAACACCAGGACATACAGAAGACTGCTGTTGCATTGTTGTGAAACTGGTGTGGTTAATGCATTTTGTAGCAAAAGCTCATGGGGCTTTCTACACTTGTTTCTGTTAACCACCATGTATCAGTATGAATCTGTTGGAGTGCTCATCAGATGTGAACTGGGACTAGTTATGATGAATGTAATGTCACAGTATGTGGTGAATTAATGTTGTTGCTTGCAGCAGGTTTCTGACACTGATGATTTGAGTGTTTAACAATTGATCGATCTAACGGACGGTTGATTCCAGGCTGCGTTTGTTGGAATCCAAGTTGAAAGATGATTGTCGATTGATTTCATTGTTTAATCTATGGGGCGTCTATAAGGAAACATGTATGATTAAGACAAAATTAATATGATAGCATTATTTGTAAACGAGAATCTTTCCCAGAATGACAAGTGTACATATGTGTATGGCTTGGAACTGGGCTATTTCCCTTGCTTGGTTTCCAGTGTTGCCATGTTAGTGGCAGGTCATTTCAGTACCTTCTGTAGGAATATGAGTTTTAACTGGCACTTGCAGTCCCACTTAATTGTTGTGTGTAGGAAGTACAAGTGTTGTATATAGAAAGCAGTGCTAAGACTGTTCATTGTCTTCTGTGTCATATAGGAGGCATTGAAATTATCCTTATACTTTGAACTAAAACACTGAGGCCAGGCAACCTCCCCCCAGTCTGTGCCACTTGTAGCTTCCAAGTCTAATGTATGTTTAAAAATCATTCATGCTTATGTTTAGTGTTAAATAAATACATAATATTCAGTATTAAAACAGTAGAATTAGTAAATGTATGTTGTAGTTGTGGATATGATGTGTTCCAATTCATTAATGTCAATATTGCTTCAGTGCATTGATATCATGGTCAATAAAAGTGAATCCAGTTACTCTTGTCTTTGCCTTGCTGGCTGCATGTTATCAATATTGAACAAATATTGATGTTAATAAGTGATGCTGTAACTGGTTCTGTGGGAAACTGTTCATCATAAACAGTATTGAGCAAGTAATTTTTAGGTTGCTAATTGACATACAGTTGTAACACTAGAAAATTTGTATTTGTGGAAACCATATAATACTCATCATCACTAACATAATTTTCAAAGGAAGATTCTGGGAAACATTTTCCACAGTTTGGTGACAGGTTGCAGGGTATGGCAAAATATATAGTTTGCCAGTCCCTGTAAAATTAATGGTGCACTGATTCTTGTATAAATTTACCATCCACTTACAGAAATGTCAATGAAGTGGTGAATTTTGAATTACAGGTATTTGTCCCTAACATCACACCTTTCTGTCAGTTGCTATTTGTGCTCATACGACAGCACCAATAATGCAGGTACCATGTGTCATGTGCATATGGGACAGTTGTTTTCAAGTGTCTGTTTACTGCATCCAGAAAGAGAGCTGATGTTTATGTACAAAATACTTGAGTCACTACAGCAATTTTGACAGCTCAAAAAATGCTTAAGAAACTCTCCAACTATTTTGCATAAGGTGGTGAAAATGATATATATTGATAATGTTCGACTTGAAATTCGAATTGGCTGTATACTGACATGACTGAACCTCACAGGGATGTACAAAATGGAATCAGAGCATCACCAGGTATGAGCATTCTACTTAGCTTTTTCATATTTGAAGAAGAAGAAAAGGGAAATGGGGAGGAAAAAAGCTAATTGGAATTGGAATCATTTACAAACATGAATTTCTCTGTGTCTATTAATATATGAGCTTTTTAATCGTAGTATATTGACTGTGGAGTGCACACACAGTAGAGGTCTGCACTGACCTGGTCCTTTGGGCATCTGGCCTAAATCCAGCTTGAGGTAGCCTGAGGGGTCAATATATTGTGCATATCAGATTGATACCTGAACACCCCCCATCACCACCACCAATTTGAGTAGGGCTGAAACACAGTATTACATCTGACCACACACTTGTGTTGGACCATATTTCAAAATTGATTTCATACAACAGTAATAACTTGAAACTATGTTGTTTTGAGTCACTTCATTTCTTTATGCAAACATTACTGTATATTTAAAAAAAAACGGTATGTTTAAAACTACCTTCATGTAACAATCTTTATTACAATATGTATCCTTGTAATATTCCCAAAGTGGTCAGATTGGCGGTCTTTCCTCCAGCCACCCCCACAGATACATATTTGTCATACAAACTTTGCTAATGAGATGGTTAGGTTTTTTTTATACAGTGTGTACAGAAGCTTGATTTTCATTTGAATATGCTCCAAGTCAGTCTGTTCATTAGGTTATCCCTTGACCCTAGGGCAAAGCCCATTCTGTGCAGACCTCCTTAACACATAATGCCATGCTTGTGTGTGTGGCTGGAAGATTGTGAACACACTTTTCTTACTTTAAATGGGAAATGTGCTTTTCTGTATCTAATATAAACTAGTTTTAAAACATTGCTATATGTAGCCAATCCTCAGTTTAAAGCAAAGGTTCCTTGTGTGTATATGTTGGCAGTTCCTTGATAAAATCTGTTTGGAATGTTTAAAGAGATTAACTGAAAACTACTATTATAAGGTAGAGAAATATTGATGGATTTTATCTAATTTCCTACCACTTTAATAAGAAAGGGATATATTTCTTGAGTTCTGGAAAGTAGGTGCCAACATGTTTAACACAGTCACAGAAAGTGTGGCATATATGGTTGGCATAGTTTTGTTGCAGCATGTAATAAGCAGTTGGGCTGGCCAGCTTTTGTGGACATTTTGTTTTCAATAACTTTCAACCTTATATAATTTAGTAGCATTCATCAAATGGATTAAGGAGGCAAGTGACCTAACAGAATCACATTCTGAAGCCTGTAATCTAGCCTCAATGAAATCCATTCTTTGTGTGTTATCTGTAAGGTATGATTAATTTAGGGTGCTCTTGCTTTTAATAAATAGTTGTCATTATTCTAATAACTGGAATGATTATGAGCATTTATTCATTTATTAACATAGCTATTATGTAAAATAGTACTGTTGTGACTTGTTTTGTTAGTTCTGAAAATATGTTTCAATGCCAAGTTGTACATTCACTGTCATTTTAACAAGGACATATGCAAATTTGTGTTTTTTCTCCAGATGTGTCAGTTTGACACACTCAAACTGGGGTTTGGTCAGTTATATTGGTAGCATGAAAATTACATTTCTTGAGGAAAAGGAAGGAAACTGGTGTAAAGTTTTTTCTCATATTGAGGTAACTTAATTTGTGATTTAATACTGCTTCTTATGACCCAAAAATATGACATTGCTTTCTAATTATAACCATTCCTGTGCTTTTCCTTCAGGGCTTTGCCTCATACTATGTATTCAGTTCCAAGTGGTGTAACTATATGGAACACTTTTTTTCTGTTTGCATTTTTAGTCACAGTAAAATGTCATGTTTTTGTCATCAGTGTGCATATGCTTAAAATGTTATTATAAATGCAATGTGCTGCAATTTCTGCGGGGAACTGAAACAGCTGTGACTGTATGGGGAACATGTTCAGAAGCTGCTTATTGTGGCCACAAGATGGGCAATAGTTTAAGAAGTCCTTACATAAACATGTAAAGTGATGTTGAATGACAATCATCTATATAGACAGACCACTGTAGGTTGCGGTGCAAGGGCCGAGAAGGCCAACCCCTTATACATTCATTCCTTCATCTATATAGACAGAAGGCTTCTTTGGACCACACACGTGTGGACAGAAATGAGTTTTGCTTATATGATGAACATTGTTCCCTAAGACTAAAAGCTGTTTTAAAGGAGGGAGGGCAGATTGCACAGTTGCCATGTTTGTTCCAATATTGTAGTTTGAAAGAGCAGATAATGCCTCACTAGATACTGAAATCAATAAACAAACCTTGCAGGCCGAAACAAAGTTGTTTTATTTTCTATTTATTAGTGTGTCTGAAGTTATGTCATGTGGTTTCTTCCTAGTTTGTGAGACTGTTAGTGCATGAGTATGCAGTGTTGTGATCTTCAAGCAGAATCAGTAATGACTTGCATTTCAAGACTTATTACGTGCACTCATTTTACTGACAGAAGAAACTAGTGTTACAGCAGTATGTTGAGTGAATTTGGAAACCATGCCCATTTTGTTAGGCACCTGAGCTCTACATATGAAACACTTCTTAAGCTTACCGCCGCCACCACGTGTTAGAGCCTGTCTCCAATGACCTATGACTGAATGCATGGCATGGTATTTAGGCAGCGAAAACTGTACTGTAATATTCGCGCATAAAACATTCAGAGTCAGAAATACAGGGCAGGTTTGGCAAAAGCCTACTCAGGCATATAGGCATGTAATATTGATATTTGGGAAGCCAGCCGAGATTCATACAGTCAGAAGGGTATACCTGTATGTTCAGGAAAGCAGCCCTGTTCAACGCGGCACCCGTGATATATTTTTCTGGCACCCTCCGTAAGCACATATAATTGAGCCGATTTTTAATATTAATTCAAATTGTAAGACAAGACATTTTTGAACGTCTGAGTACTGTTAAATATTTTCACAAAATTTCCTTGAAGCACGGTACAGTATTAGACATTCCTTGAAAATTTATACCTATTTTTTTCTCCCTTGCTAACAACACCAGTCTTAATTCTTTTTTCACTAGAGAAACCGTCGTCCTCTCAAGATCATGTAATTTTCCCTAGCGGTATTTTTACCCCTTCAAATAGTCGCAAGTCCCCACTGATTTATGGTCAGGGTATCATAAAATTTTCTGTGATCGGCAGGGCAAACATATTCACTGACCCGAACATGACTATGGGGCCAAGCTTACCGTAATTTCCCCACTTTTTAAACTCATCGGCAATATGAATCAAAATTACTTTAATCCCAACAAAGTGATGTCGCAAACAATAAGAATTTATTAGATGGTCATATACTAATGGAAATTGGCAGTAGCTATATTTCCTAGTTCGCTTTCTTCAGCCAGACATTCAGTATTACTTGTGAGTTTGTGACGACCATAGTTCAGTTATTATGTGTCTTGTGTTGTGACAAGTTACACAGTTATCAGTGTATTTTAGGAATGGCACTTCAAATTATTGAGTAAATAAGCAGTACTATTTTATATAGCTATTCTTGATATGGCTGAAAGACAAAGAAGTTATAGTTTTAACAGAGGATGGGAGGAGCAGTATTGTTTTAATGAATACAGAGGAAAACCAGTGTGTTTATTGTGTAGTGGTAGCGTGTCTATTCCTAAAAAAAGTAATGTAGAGCGACATTTTTTGACTAACCATAGAAACTTCAACATTGAATTTCCTGTGAAATCTGAACTAAGAAAACAAAAGGTGAAAGAACTAAAATCTAAATTAATCTTGTAACAATGTGTATTTACAAAGCCTATCCAGCAAAGTAGTAATGTAACAATAGCTTCTTATAAAATCTGTCATGTGTTAGCTAAAAGGAAAAAATCTTTCAGTGATGGGGAAATAGTTAAAGAAGCCATGATCAGTGCCGGCGAGTCTCTGTTCGATGGTCATAAAGATAAATCTGCACTTATGACTTCCATCAAAGGACTTCAGTTGTGTCACAAAACTGTTGCTAGACGAGTTGAACAACAGATTTATGATAATCTGGAATCTCAAATACATCAGGATTTGCAATTGCGTGAATATTTTTCACTCCAGCTTGATGAAAGCAGTGATATATTGGATGTTGCACAATTGTGTATGTTTGTTAGAATTGTTTTTGGCAATTTTACGGTAAGGGAAGAGTTCATTAAACTGCCGCCACTTCATGAACGTGCTAGGGGAGAAGACATAATGAATGTGTTCCTTAAATTTGTGAAAGAACGTAACTTACTACTTTCAAAACTTGTTGCTATAACTACAGATGGGGCGCCTTCAATTACTGGTAGGAACAATGGGTTCCTTGCTCTTTGTGCTAAGGATGAATCATTTCCCAATGTTCTTTCTTATCACTGCATTACCACCAGGAAGCTTTATGTGCAAAGGTTTTGAAGTTCGACCATGTTATGAATGTAGTAACTCGTGTGGTAAATTATATCAGATCGTCTTCTGCTCATTATCGATTGTTCAAAAATCTTTTGAGTGTGTCGGACACTGAGTATGGTGAAATAATTTTCCATGCAGACATAAGGTGGCTTAGTAGGGGGAAAACACTGGAACGATTTTGCTGTCTTCTGGATGAGGTCAGGGACTTTCTGAGATCATCTCCTGGCCAATATTATCAAGAACTTGATGAAATATCATGGCTACTAGATTTAGCTTTCTTGACAGATATCACCTCAAAATTAAATGAGTTAACTCTTGAATTACAAGGGAAAGTTCGTAACATTTCAAGCATGATAAGTGTAGTTAATGCTTTTCAAAAGAAACTAAAGCTATGGATTGCACATTTAAACAGAAATTCCTTTTCACATTTTCCGCATATGAAATCTGTTTTGGAAACCTTAAATGGCTGTGAATACGATCTTCCATCTTTTTCCCAGCATCTTGAAGCCTTTGAGACCGAATTTGGTAACAGATTTAGCCAGTTTTCATCACTTGAACCAGTGACAATGTTTATCAGTAATCCATTCGCTACTGTTAATGTTAGTGAACTTGGAGGGGAGGTGTGTGAAATCTTCGGAGAGTATAATCTTGAAGAATTAGAAATGGAAATTTTAAATTTCCACGGAGGCATATCTTTGAAATCCTCATTTGCATCTTGTAGCAATTTCTGGACTCTGGTAGACAGGAATAAATATCCCATGATTCATAGCATTGCTCTGAAAATTTATTCATGTTTTGGTTCGACGTATCTGTGCGAAGTCGCATTTTCATCTATGAGCATCATCGAAATAAGTATCGATTCTACCTAACAGACTCACACTTAGATGATGCACTAAGAGCAGCCTGTTCCAGCTACACACCAGATTTTCGAAAACTTGCAGCTAACCTGCAGCGTCAAATTTCACACTAATTATGTAAGACTGTAAGTAAATACTCGTATAATTATATTAACAAAAGATTTGGTAAGTATTAAATTTCTAATTGTTTTATTTTTATTGTTATTATTATTTAAGAAGTAGTAGAAATAGTATTTAGTAGTAGTAGTAGTAGTAGTAGTAGTAGTAGTAGTAGTGTGGTGGCGCCCGCACCTCCATAGGCAACAGTGAATTGTGCCCGAGTACATAAGAACGTTGGACAGCTCTGTGGTAGAGTATGGTGAATACTTCTCTGCGTAGCCCCTCTGTCACAGGTCCTTCTTCGCTGGTGCTGTTTTGCTCCCACTGTTCAAGTTCCTATTTGTCACCGTTAGTCTGTTCGAGATTTGTATCATGTCATATGCAGGACACCCCTTCCCCTGCCAGCGGTGATGTAACACCTTCGGAGCGTTGCCGTTGCTACGGTAATAGGCCATTCAACACCCCGCCCCCTCCCGCGGTGACATAACATGGGATGCCGCCGTTGCTACTCAGCAGTGAACAACTCCCGACAGCGTTGTTAGGCTATCGGCAAACGCGGCGTCAGACAACAATGGTGCCTATTACGTAACTGTTTTCTGTGTTGTCCGTAACGGGGCTAAATAAGGAGCAGCGAAGACTATTCAAGAGTTAGTTACGAGCTGGCCAGGGAAGAGTATGCAGTATAGTATTTGTGATACTGCCGATGGCAGTAATGTTGAGTTTGTAAATGGTGCGAGTGTGAAATAAAATTCGTTATATCCAATAAGGCGTGAAGTTATTTGTTGCGTTATACACCCAACACGTGACAATATCATATCATATATATCTTTATTGAATTCAAAGATCGATCATTGGTACAAAACCACAAGATATAAAACTTGTCACAGAATATCCTACGTGTATCAAGCAGAACGACATACGTTTCATAATATATGCAACAAGCCATCATAAAATAAATGTCAGTCACGTATGCAATACCTGTAATTAAAATAAATCTACAAGAACATAAAACCAAATACAGAATTATATAATAAAACAGTATACCAAAACAACTCAGTCAATGGTTTAAAACAGAGGTTCTCAAACTGTGGGGTGCGACCCCCAAGGGGGCAGCATACTTTCCTACAGATAAAAATTAAAATTGCCCCAAATCAATTAGAAAAGTAACAAAAATAAAAATACGTATAGAAAGACTTTTAATGAGTACAGGCTTTAATTATCATGAATTTCGAAATAACTAATAACTATTCTCTTTACCGGCAATTATAAACCACGTATGCCAGAGACAGCGTTGATAGTTTGGCAGCAGTCACATTCTCTTCAAGGCAGCACTGTACACGCGCAGCTGAAAGCAGCGACTTATGTCATCTCATTGGCGCCTGTCGGGCAGGGAGAAGGCAGTT